TTCTTAGAATACAACACATGACCTCTTCTTCCCATATCCCATCTCTTATCTATAAACAACTCCTTAAAGCCTCACCATATCAGTCCTGATGTCAGCAAAAGTCCATTAAGGGTTACCAGAGATAACATATCTATTTTAAATGACCTCTTCTTCCCATATCCCATCTCTTATCTATAAACAACTCCTTAAAGCCTCACCATATCAGTCCTGATGTCAGCAAAAGTCCATTAAGGGTTACCAGAGATAACATATCTATTTTAAATGACCTCTTCTTCCCATATCCCATCTCTTATCTATAAACAACTCCTTAAAGCCTCACCATATCAGTCCTGATGTCAGCAAAAGTCCATTAAGGGTTACCAGAGATAACATATCTATTTTAACCTTGATCAAACAAACTAACTTTATATTCCTGCCTTTTGCTTTTAACAATCTTGATCTTTAGTCCCTTCAAATAATGTCCTAGAACTTGATTTTTCCATAACCCAGTTATTCAATACGCAATTTTGCTTTTGTGTTTTCTCTTTATACTGAGAATCAAAATTTTGCATGAACTGTTGTCCCTTCTCACAAAATTCTTCAAAGCTTTAACAAGACTCTTTTGTAAATTCAATATAGGAAAATTATCCAATTTTATTATCAGCTTATTCAGGGGAACAGTTCATGCAAAATTTTGATTCTCAGTATAAAGAGAAAACACAAAAGCAAAATTGCGTATTGAATAACTGGGTTATGGAATTGTAGGAAGAGAGCCATGTTTGTCTATAGTAGCAAAAAATCAGGAGGAGTGTGGTAGCACCTTTTCCAACCTGACAAGCTGCATCTGATGAAGTGAGCTGTAGCTTATGAAAGCATATGTCTTTAATAAAATTTGTTAGTTGGAAAAGGTGCTACCAGACTCCTTTTGATTTTGAGTTATAGAATGAGTCTTATCAACATATATCACTACTCAAAATTCTTTTCAAGAGTGCCATTTGGTAAACATTTAAAGACTGTCCATGCTGACTTAGTTTGATCTAAGGGACAGTTTTTGGGTTGGAGCACATTCCCTGAATTTTATGAGACTAAGGAGATTTATATAAGTGGTGGCAGGATATGTACTAAGATTCTTGATTGTTTCTTGCACTATTATTTGGGAAATTTATATCTTAAGAACAGCAGATAAATCTAGAGCTATGCAAATTTGGAAGCCCAGCTTGGTCCTTATATATGCTTAAAAGAGGGTGATTTCCCTTGACTGCTCAGTTCTTTGCTAATAAAATAGTATCCAAATACAACTAAACCAAGTTTTATTTTGTTTTTCTCCTCTTTTCTCTCTCTGTTTTTTTTCCTTTATATATTTGTGTTTCTTCTGATGCATTCTGAGTGAGTTGGAATATTCAGTCTGTTAAAGTATATGCCATTTCTGAGTGGCATTCTTTGTAAAAGCACATTTCATTGACGTGCATACCGCCTGCCTCCTTGATAAAGGGCATGGTTAGATGCATGCCTCTGTTGTCATTGTTTCATCAGGTGCATATACTGTATCATAACCATTCATCTCAGTTGTAAGTGATGCTATGGAAAAAGGGCCTTTGCCAGCAGACACTTGACACCAAAGTTCCAAAGATGCACAAATCATTGTTTGTGTCCTTATTGTTATTGATAATAAATACTGTCTCCAGGGGGAATGCATATAACGAACTGCCAAACCTGTAGAAAGGTTAGCCAGTGGAATGAGTTTCAAAAAGTATGTGTTGTACAGACACTGCAGAAAGCATAATTAAATTTTGTTTCCATTGTTTCCTATGGCATTTTTTTTTAGAAATAATTTCTTTGGAAACCATCATCCCCTTAGTCCTTTTTTTAAAAAAGTTTGATTAACAGGTAGCATATAGAATGGAACATCATCTCACCTAGATTTGTGGCCCTATGGTAAAAATGAAAAACAAGGGTTGGTTTCAAGTTCTAGTTATTCCCTAATCCAGAATATTTAAAATTTAAAATATTTTATATTGGATAAAACACCCTGTTTCATATATGGTACACATGCCAGAAAACAAGATATTTTGGAAATTCGAACTTCTTACACACCCTATTGGCACAGCAGTCCAAGAGGTTACTGGTGATTTGAAGGTTTCCTGCATGTTTAGCTGGCAAATAACCATCTGTAGAAGTTACTCCATTCTTATCTGATGCTTGCAATTCAGAACAGGTAGTAGTCCTTGCTTAACTATGGTAATTGGGATTGAAATTTCCATCACTAAGCGATGCAGCTGTGAAGTGTGATGTCATGTAACCGTGCTGCTTAGTGCTGGCAGTTCCAGCAGTCCCCAGTTACCATTGTTAAGCAATTCACCATGAATCATTAAGCAAGGAACTCACATGACTGTGACTTCCTGCTGGCTTCCCCGTTGACTTTACTTGTGGGAAGCTGGCAGGGAAGGTTGCAAATTATGATCGTGTGAGCACTGGGGCTCTCCAACAGTCAAAACTTCAAGGATCGGTCCTTAAGTACCACTTGTTTAGCGCCGTTGTAAGTTTGAATGGTTGCTGAATGAGTGGTCATTAACCAAGGACCACCTATATTGAAACCTTTACTATTTTTATTTGCTCCAAAACTTAGTGTGCAGATGTTCCTCTCAACATAATGCAGAAAGTCTTGACTTGCCTTATTAAACTAAACAGTCTTTTTGGAGGCAGGGTTTCTGTTTAGTTTCATATGTTACTCTGTGCCAGCAAAGAATCCATATATTCACAGATGAGCATTTGAATTACTACAGTTGTGGGTAACAATCTTTTTGCATTTTATTTATTTATTACTGCAAATTATATGCCATTGCATTTCCAGAGACTTTGAGTAATTGAATTGGTTTTTATTCTTAATCTTATTATATTAATATACTTATATTCAGTCAATCCAGTGTGCCACCAGGTGGGGGTAGCATGATCTTATACCAATCTCACAATTTGTGAAAAAATTACTTTATTTGGCATTTAATTTATTCCAATAAAATTTAATTATTTTGCATTGCCTACCACATTTGCATGCATGAAATAGGTGGAGGAAAAAATAGTGAGTACAGGTACATCGCATGGAAATGTTTCAGTTTGGATTTCTAAGTGTGTATTAGCAAACATGTTATTACTGTGTAAAACAGCAAATCCTGGGAGAGTTATTTAATGGCCAGGAACTAAATTTTAACTCCTGAGAACATTTACTTCACCATATTAGAAGGAAGTAAATACTTCAGCATTCTGGCATAAAGCCTAAGGCTTAAAACACAAAGTAAAATTCCAGTGAAGGGTCTGGCATATGAGCTTTCAAGTAGCAATACGAATTTTGAGGTTTTTAAAAACATATTCCTGCCATTCCCTTCATATTCCTGCCATTCCCTTTTGTATTCCTTTTTATTATTTTCTACCTACACCTGATTTTCCTCCAAACACATTTTGTTTTATGGAATTATTATGGGGGCAGGGAGAGAATGCAATAATACCCTGGACTGCAAAACTTGAAGCCTATAAAAATTCTAAACTAAAGGAAATAAAATGTGATTTCTAGCAAGTAGTAAAAGAATACAATATAATACAGAAATTTTCAGCAGTATATAATTTTAAATAAATGTATATGTATAATTCAAGTTATAATTATATTTTATTAGACTTCTAAATTATGTTATTATAAATCCAGAGATGGTGGTTTTAGTTTTTAATAATAGTGCTTGGAACCATATGTTTACATTAATTTTTCCCATCTCCGTTAGGTTGCATTCTGACTTGAAAGAGTAGCTGTATAGAGAGCTGCCATTTCCAGACATGGAAACGGTATTACTAATTGTTGTCAGCACTATTGTGTACAGCCAGGATGTCCTGGGGAAAGACTGTTTAAAGCTGATGATAAGTAATATCAGTATGTAATGGTTGAAAGAAGGCTTTAGCATTCTTTGAGTAGAAGTGTTTGGAAATAAGGTAGGAGGAATTAATTTATATTTAAACCATTAAGTACTTATTTTCCAAAATCATTAGTATTTAGGCATAACAAAAACCAAAAACATGCTCATAAAACAGGAAAGGATTTTGTTTGTTTTAGCCGATAGCATTTCCTTGGGGGAAAATTGTTCAAAACGGTTTGAATTATACATTTTTTGCTACTGCTATCTTCATTGTTTTCCCCCTTATTTCATCTTTTAATTTCCAGTAACATTTTCAATATGCATATTAGAATATAAATTTATGTCTTATATACTTAATTTACAATGTTACTGTGTGCTATTAAATTGTTTTTCTCAAATTAACAGAACTCTCTCTTTTATGCCATACAGGATGAGCTAGTGACTGCCTTTGATTTAACTGAACTTTTAAAGTAGTTAATAGTATCAGGCTTTGCCTTTCTAGTATTTCATTCTGAAAAAAATGATATATGCAATTGTATTTTACAAAACCTATTTAGTATGAATATAAATGCACTGTTAAATTTTAGAATATAAACTCTAGGGAAATTGGTTTTAAATACTTCAGTCAATTCTGAAGTTAGTTTTCAGAGCAAGAGTATACATGATGAAACCACTAGCTCTGCATTTAATTTACATCATCAGCAATGAAGTCCATATTGAGTAGTTTATTAGTCTATTATATGATACTAGACAGTTAATTTCTATCAGCTTACTGGAAACTTTTCTTGTCACAAAGGAAGTCTGATGGAATATCTGGTTTATTCAGTTCATTGTGTTGTTTAGACACCTGTCAGGAACATCACAAAGTTACTGTGTTTGAAATTAATTTATATTTATGATATTTTTATTTCTAGGTATAGCTGACTTCTAATTAAACTAATTTATATTTCTTGTAAATTTATTTTCTTTAAATCAAAGATTAGTATTTGATTAGTTTCTTAATGAAATAATGGATTGTGTAAAATATTTTAAAGGATTAAACAGAAGATGTTTCTAAATACCTGTGAAAGATGAAGACTGAATTATGGGGAAGGCACTTTTGTGAAGGGAAATTATTGAAAGAGGCAGTCTTTAGAGACTGGAATTGGTATTGCCTCCCAGTTTCCTAAATTTCTAAGTATTCTCTGCAAAACTTTTCAATTGCTTCTATTGGTGCCAGTGGATGATCACTGCCATGAACAAGTTTTTTTCAGGGAAGTTGTTAGCCTTGCCTTCTCTGGCATCCCAAATTCACAGCATCCCCACGGTCATGTGATCAAAATTTGGGTGCTTGGTGGCCGGCATGTATTTCTGATGGTTGCAGCATCCCAGGGTCACATGATTGCCATTTGTAACCTTCCCAGAGGGCTTCCAACAAGCAAAGTCAATGAGGGAAGCTTAATGACCATGTGATTTGCTTAACAACCGCCATGATTCGCTTAATGACTGTGGCAAAAAAGGTCATAAAATCGAGTGTGACTCACTTACCCACCACATCACATAGCGACAGACGTTCCGGTCCCAACTGTGGTTGTAAGTCGAGGACTACCTGTGTACCAAGCTACATGGAATTACAGATATATGGATGAATTTATTGGCTCTTTAAGAGTCAGCTCAGGAGTCTCCTTCTTTGACAGAGAATTTAACCTTTTCCTTCATCTGGTTCACAAAGATTAGATACTTTCCTGCTTTTAACATCTTCTAGGAAAAATTCTATCTGGGTTGGTAGTTTTTTTTATAACAAGGCAGGTAACAGTTTGGAGGAAGAGTCTATGATTTCATAAAGAAAATACACGGAGAGAAAGATTAATCTTCAGCACCAGATTCCTTTATATATACTGTTGGTCAAAATTTAAATATGCTGAAAATCCAGTCACAAATTTCTGTATTATATAATTTGGCCCTAATCATTTTGATATGTTTGGATGGCTTGTTCCTTCATGTGACTATAGCTTATTTTACTGTTTTTCGAAAATGTTATCATGGATATATTTTTTTCTGAAAAATGTATTTGCTTGCCTTGGTGTTGATCCTGAGTCACTTCAAGTATCTCCTATGTAAAAACACTCTTTTGCTTTGCACTTGTGCTTTCATCTTACAGAATTTTACTCCTGAAATGGACCTTTTAGTATGCAAATGTGGCTTAAAAGAGTAGAGAGTAGAGTTTTGAAATACTGAGACAGAATATTTGCCATCATTTGTTTAAAAAATATTTGGATATCTAGGTCTATTCTCAGTTCTATGTATATTCTAAGCAATTAGTGACAGGTACTCAAGATTATCTAAAATGAACTGAATAAATTACCATCTAGCCCTATTTCTTTAGTTTAAATACGACATAGAACGTATATGGTATGATTTGAGAGCATTACCTAGCTATGAAAATTCCATCTGATAATTTACAGTGCCTCTTTGTTTTTTCTCTTAGCTGTGAACTTTAAGGAAGTTAATGAAGAAAACAAGCGAGAAGTATTAAGTGAAATATTCTCTTCTATTGACTTACTGGCATTTACTTTTGGCAACATGTAAGTTTTAAAAAACATATAATTGTGTTTTTTTAGGGTCTAAAAGCCTTAGATTGTATATATCTGAACCATTACTGTGATCTATTTCTTCATCCATGTTGTTCATTTAGTTGTAATTTTCCTTTCCTAATGCTACTTCTTTTTGTAGGTCTTCTAATGTAGCAAGCTTTTCTTGCTGGAAAGAATTTTTATACTCTCTTTATGAAGGTCTTTGCTTCACTGTTTCCAGTCTTCTCTTGCAGCTGTTCTCTATTAACATTTCTGATTTCTTGAAGCAACATTGGATTACTGCCTGTTTTCTCCAGCAGTGCCTTATGTCTCCTGCTTTCTTCCAATTCAGAACAGGGAAGACTATATCTAGGCAGTGCTGGCTTATTCATTTTAAAGCAAATGACTCAAATTTTGAAGTTACCTGATGTTCAACATTTTCATAAGTAGTAAGGTTTTTCAGCAGTCAAGAATTATATATGTTTAAAATGCTACATTTTATAGCTGAGGCTATCTTAAAATAGATACTGATCATTCCCATATGATATCTGGTCTGAATATTTGTTAGATGTTTGTGCCTATGTAGTAAACCAAAGCATAATTAAATTTTATTCTGACTGTCATGACAGAGTTTCAGACTTCCTTATGGGAGATGTGGATAATGGCTCAGGACTGGGTCTTCCTGTATCTCGGCAAAATCAGGTAAGATGAAAATGCTCTTGAAAGTTTCAGCATGTTTCATTGTGCAGTGGTTGAGAATATAGATTCAGCAAGGACAGTGTAAAACTAAAAACTGCATAGGAACCTAATATTTTGTAGAAACTACAGCTATTAGTTTCTACAAAACTAGAACTAGCTTAGTTCTAGATATAAGTATAAATGGAGGCCAAATAATTTCTAGTAAGAAATTTAAATGAGTTGTCATATCAACTTTGTGATGGATAAAAATATATCTTTATAGAAAGATAAATGTTTACTTCCATAAGCTTTCTTTGTGCTTAGACTGTCGTAACAATATTTGGTAAATGAGCTGGAAAATGTGTTAGTGGATGAAGGTACTGTAATATGAAGAGTTGCATTGTTTCAGTTTCATTGCTGTTGTTGTTGTTCCACTTTGATTTTTATCAAAAAGGCTGCTTAGTTTTTTTCATATTCCTCTTTTTTTCCTTTGAAGTACATCTGTGATCTCCACCATGGCACCTGTTGGCACCAGTGTGCCAATGTATATCTCCTTTGGTGCTCACCTAGCTTGTTGCCTCATTTAACTTCTTACAATTAAAATATATTTTAATTTTAAAAATAGAAAGTTGGAGTCCTGTTGTTAAAAGCATCAATATCCATTAACATTGCTGCAAATATTTCTGGCTCTTAAACGAACCCCACTAGTTTTCTTAGAAAATAATAATGGAAGGTGATAGCACTTTAGAGCTTTGCTTGGAAGTACATCTGCCTAACCAGGAAAAAAATAAGCAGAAGTAATAGTATACTAGAGAGAAACTAGATAAGTGGGGATAATATTCTCTTATATTATGTTTTGTAGCTGATTAAGTCCCCAATGGAAAATATTTTTTGAGAGCATTCTTGATAGGCACTCAGATTGCTAATGTGCTTGGGGACTGTGTAGTACTAATGCACCTGAAAACAATGTTTATAACATGAGTAGAGCAGTAGTATTAGCCCCATCATTCTGTAAATATCACTTGACCTTGACTACAGGTAACCTTTTACTATATGGTCTTTTTACCTACTGTCATATTGAGTAGTTTCTTGGTTAACTGAAAGAATATGCAACTGATACTAAACATGAATCACCTGTGTAACATACAATGGATTTTTTGGTTTTATGGAGATAATATGTTTCACTCATAATCCATCTGGCTTTCTTTCAATATTGACCTCTCCTGTGGGAAATTTTTCATGTTGTATGCATTGAAATGTCTTTGATTTTTAATTATAGCTGTTACAATTAACTTCATCTCTTGTGCCTGGATTATTTAAAACATCTTTTTAAAACTTTTTTTATAGCAACGTAATTTTTACTTCCATGTTGTCCATCTTCATGTGGCACAGGTTATCTAACATTTTTAAAAGCAGAGAATGCAAATAATGTTACCTCAGTATTTAAGCCCATAAATCTTGGGTAATTACTAATGTTGTGCCCTTTCCTTGGTCAAATATTTGTTCAGGTCCACACCAAGAATGCTTTTTTTCCCTCCCTCTTCTTTTAATTTGAGTTTAGCATCTCTTGCCTACATAACTAGAAATTCTAAAATATTAATGGAATTACACTAGCAAATGTTATTATATGCTAATAATGTGTTTTATACACAAACCAGAAATAATCTATTCTTAATCTTATTTCACTATTCTATAAGTTTGGGATTCTGTATGGGTAGTATAAAAATTAAGAGTAAATTAGATTTGTTACCATTGGATCATAGTGATCTAGAAAATGTGACTAAGATAAATTTAACTGGTTTAAATTTTGAGAAGCATCTCTGTGTTTATTCTGTTAAATTATTTTTAAAAACTTACAGGACATTAAGTACATTTCCTTGGCAAGATCATACTGCAAGATTTTAATTAAGCAAATTACAACTACCTGTTTAGAAAGGTGGATTTAACTTTCCACACTTTCAGATTTATCACTGGGCATTTATTCTAGCTTCAGTTACTGTCTGGAATAAGAAGTGTCAGACTTCAGCTCCTCTTTGGCTCAATTGAAGAGTTATTATCAGAACCTGTTAAAATCTTGGCAAGTATTATTTATGAGCGCATCTGCACATGCTGCAAGAAATACGTAGAAAACTTTGGATTACAGATATTATTGTGACCCATTTACCCATGAAAAGCTTACATTATTTGATCATTTCAGTTTAATATTAGCATTAAATCTGTGACATTTTATTGATGAAGTTAATGCTTCCTGGAGTCATGGATACTCTTATCACTGGGGATATTCAAACCAATTAAACAGCAGTTTGTCTGGGATAGTTGAAGGTTTCCTGCCCTGAGGAGGGGGTTGGACTCGAAGACATCCAAGATCCCTTCCAACTATATGATTCTATGAAGTTAAAACAGCAAAAAATTGCTTCAAACATATTGGACAACTCAGAGAACACTTAAGGTTTGCTTATAGTCACATTACTATTGGAGATCCAAGTCAGGAGTTAGAAATTAACCCATATGACTTGGTCTCGCCCCATTATTGTCAATTTTGGGGTTGATATCAGCAGGATTGTTAATATGAATCTGGATTATTTTTTGTGTATTAAAGATGCCTTCGAAGTTATTTTTGTTACTACTATTATGTTTATCTGTACTTTTGTTAATTTAGCTTAATAAAATTTAAAATAATAAGGCTACCTAAATAGGCTTTACGTATAAATGCTTTGCTATGTCATGATTTCTTGTTTGTCTGGTTTTTTATTCCTCCCACCCTGCCTATCATGTATTAAATTTTTTTTAGCTGATGCTAAACAAGTTAAATTTTTTTGTATGCCAGTCTTTTGAAAATCTTTGTGTGGATTCTGGAGGATCATTGCATGAAAGAGAAGGTGTTCAAACAACAGGTAAGCATTTTTAAATGTATGATGACTTTGTGCACCATTTTTATTATAGGTAAATCATAATAGAGGCAATAAATACTAAAAAAGTTATAAACAGTAGATCTTCTACATAAATAATGTAAATATTTATCCTAATTTAAATATTTAAAGGAAAATCATTGGTATTTTAAAATACTCATTGTATTATGAATGAGGTTCCCCCCAAAATTCTAATGGTTCCCAGCCTACTGGTATATTGAAGGGTTTTAAAAACCTGGCTCTTTGTCCAGGCATTTGGAGAGGACAACTGATGCCCCTTTCTTCCTTTCTGTTCCCCTCTGGATTTGTTTTCTTCATATTGTTGTTCTTTTGTCTTGTGCTGTTCTTCTGTTTTTTATATTGTTCTTTGTTTTTAAATGTTTAAACAATTGTAAACCACCCAGAGTCTCTAGGAGTCAAGCGGCATATAAATTTAATACATAATAATATTAATAGTAATTATTATTATTATTATTATTGTTATTGTTATTATTATTATTATTATTATTATTATGGTTTGTCACACAGTCAGCCAGATATTTAGACTGGATTTGGCATTTTTATCCACCTATCGGGTCCTCCCCAAGGACCTGGGTTAGGTAGATGTTGTTTGATGGTGTTAAAGGTATTCTCATAGGATATAAGCTGTTCCAAGTAAAGCTGCCTTTTGCAGTTGACTGATGGTGATTTTGTCAATGCCAGTGGTGTTCAAATGGTGCTCCAGACATTTTGGGATTGCACCTAAGGTGCCTATAACTACTGATATTATCTTTACCTTTTTTTGCCATAGTCATTCTACTTTTATTTGCAGGTCTTTGTATTTTGTGATTTTCTC